TGTGAAGCAACAACTGATAGAAACTTACAGGAGAAATAGACAACCTTCACAGTTACAGCCCGAGACTTCAGTGCACATCTCTCAATAATTGATAGAACGATGACAGAAAACCAGCAGGACACTGATGAATTTTACACCACCAAGTCACAGGATCTAATCAGCATTTTTGTAACACAACCCAAACACAGGAGATTATACATTTTTTTTTTGAAGAACATGTGCCAGGACAGATCATATCCTGGGCCATAAAAACACCCCTCAACAAATTTAAAAGAACGGAATCACAGACTCTGTTCATTGCCCACAATGGAATCCAACTACAAATCAAAAACAGAAAGCTAACGGGAAAATCTCCAAACACTTGGAAACTAAACAACTTACCTTCAAACAATCCACGGCTCAAAGAGGAAGACTCAAGGGAAATACACGGGCTGAAAGAAAATGAAGACACAACATGTCATAATCTGTGAGGTATAACTAAAGCAGCCCTGAGAGGGAAATTGATAGCACTCAATGTTTATGCTAGAAAAGGGGGAAAATAGCCAAGAATAATCTAAACTGCAGTTAAGAAATCAGAGCGGAAAAAAATAAACACAAACCACACAGAAGGAAGGAAATAGTAAAGGCAAGAGCAAAAATAAGTAAAGTTGAAAACAGGAAAACAGAGAAATAAAACAAAGCTGGTTCACTGAAAAGATCAATACAATTCACAATTCACTAGCAAAACTACCAGAGATAATAAGAGAAAACACAAATTACACATAACAAATTATACAGGGACTTTTACTCCACAACTTGCAGACATCAAAAGGATAGTAAGGGACGAATACAAAACTCTGCACACGTATACTTGAAAACTTAGGTGAAATGGACCAATTCCTCTACACGGACGCCCTACCACAAATCACCCATGTGAAATAGATGATAGGAATACTTTGAATTGCGAAGTAAATTTGTAATCTTAAAATACGCTCCCAAAAAAGAAACCTGCAGGCAGTGAGTGGTGAGAGTTGAGCTAATATTGGTGCCTTATCATCCATTCTGTGTGGCCAGGTGGCCTGCAGCCACCTTGAACTGACACTACCTCCTCCCTTGAGCACATGCCCTAGATATGAGCCCACAGAGTCATAGGCAAATGTTGGTTCCTGATACAACTCTCCCAGCCGTCCCTATGATAAGCATTCTCCCCCACCTCCCAGGGCCTTCCCTTTGGCCCCTTTAGATAAGACCCCCCCACCCCCAAAAGCTTACCAAAACCTTGTTGCGTTTGGTTTGAGTTGACCAATGTGGCCTTAGCCCAGAACCACAAAGCACTCCACTGAGGGACACTGATAAAGGCATTTGCCCCAGGTCCTGCCCTAAGCTCTCTGCCTGCACGCTGCCTTAACCTCCTCACATGACCCCTACAGGTGTGCAGAATAGCTCCCCCAGATCTGTGAGTAATAAACTTCTCCACTTCACTTTCCCTTACAGTCTTGTCATGGCTCACCATCCGACATCTAGGGCTCTACTTAACAAATGTTAATACAACAAAGTCACAATAGCAACACTAGACAATTCTATCAAACCTACAAATTAACAGAAATTCTACACAATTTCTTTCAGAAAATAGAAGGGGAAGCAATACTTTTCCCAGCTAAATTTATGAGGCCGATATTAGCATAATACCAAAACTACACAAAACATTAAGGGGAGGGGGAAGAGATAACTACCAACTAAATCCCAAATGAAGATGCAAAAATTCTTAGCAAAATATTAGCAGTAGAAATCAACAATACACAGAAAGAATTGTACACCATGACCAAATGGGTTTATTTGAGGACAGAAGGCAGTTTCAAATTCTAGTCAGTGTAACCCACCATGTTAACAGGCTGGAGAAGAAAAATCACAGGATCCTGTCAATTGATACAGAAAAAGCATTTGACAAAATTCAACACCCATTTACGATATAAACTTTCAGAAAACTGGGAACAGACGGACATTTCCTCAATTCAATAAAGAACTCCTACAAAAACTTATAGCAAACATCAGTGGATGCTTTTCCCCCAGAGACTGGGAACAAGGCAAGGATGTCCACTCTCACCACTGATATTTGACATGTTATTAGAAGTTCTAGCCAGCGAAGCAAGGGAAGAGGAGTAAATAAAAGAGATAGAGAGAAAAGGAAGATAAAAGAGTGGACCCATTTGCAGAAGACATCATGGTTGTGGTAGGCTGAATAATGCCCCCACCCCAAAGGATGTTCATGTCCTCATGCTTGTAACATGGGAGTGTTACTGTAAATGTCATAAGGGAGTTTGCAGATGTGCTCTGGTGAAGATCGTGAGGTGGGAGATTATCCTGGATGATGTGGTAAACTCGATATGGTCCTGAGGGTCCTTATAAGAAGGATGCAGGAAGAGTCAGTCATGTAGAAGCTGGTGAAGTGATGGAAGCCAAGGGGCAGAGCTAAACAAGTTTTAAGATGCTATCTTGCTGGCTTAAGATAGAGGAAGGGGACCATGAGGGAGAGGATGTAAGCAGCCTCTGGATGTGGGGAGGTAAGGAAACAAATTCTAACCTGCAATATCCAGAAGGAGCACAGTGCTATGGATCCATGTTACACATCTGGCCTCCAGAACTGTAAGAGAATAAACTTGTTAGTTTAAGTCATTCAGGTTGTGGTAATTTGTCACAGCATCAATAGGAACATTTTTGAAGTTGCGTATGTAGAAAATCCAAAGGAATGCACAAAAATTTCCAGAGAAAGTAAAATTTGCAAGGTGTTAGAATACAAAAGCATGCAAAAATCTATTGCATTTCTATATACTAGCAATTTACACCTGGCAACTGAAATTAAAAATGCAGTAGTACCATGTATAATTGCTCAAAAAAGAGAAAGTATAAGAAATATGAGCCCAGGGCGCCTGGGTAGCTCAGTTGGTTAAGTGACTGCCTTTGGCTCAGGTCACGATCCTGGAGTCCCTGGATCGAGTCCCGCATCGGGCTTCCTTCTTGGCAAGGAGCCTGCTTCTCCCTCTAACCCTACCCCCTCTCATGTACTCTCTCTCTTTCTCGCTCTCTCAAATAAATAAATCTTTAAAAAAAAAAAAAAAGAAATATGAGCCCATGTTCCAGTGCAGGGTCCTCTGGATCTGAGACAGATATCAGTCACTGGGAAATGTCAGAGTGACCCTAGGCATTTGGTAATGCAGATTATCTCCTTTTCAGAAACTACAGTTGGAATCTCGATGACTTTCTATCTTATTCATCATTATATTTTCAGGTACTTCACTGTGTGCTTGTTAACCTCCACACACTTGATTTTCAAGCACCTGACTAGAGCCAACTATCACAGTAAGAGATTTCAGTTAACCATCTGGCCATTCAAGTTACTTCACATAAGACCTGAAAGAACTCTTCATATTTTGTACCTACTACTTTCTACCTGTCACTGCCTTATGTTCATTTTCATGTCACAAAAGTCTCAAAACAACCCACTGATTTATGTATCCCTTGGTGTAAAACAGGGGGGAAAAATGCAAACTAAACATATAATCTGGGTCACAATGTGTGGAAGGAAAAATTGTATTAAAAATTGGGGGTGGGGGGCGCCTGGATGGCTCAGTTGGTTAAGCGTCTGCCTTTAGCTCAGGTCGTGATCCCAGGGTCCTGGGATCGAGCCCTGCGTTAGGCTCCTTGCTCAGAGGGGAACCTGCTTCTCCCTCTCCCTCTACCTGCTGCTCCCCCTGCTTGTGCTGTCAAATAAATAAAAAATCTGACTACAGTTGAAAATGGATCAGGTAACATATTGCTTAAGACCTAATTTGAAATTGACCTTTTAAAATCATTGGTAGAATTGCTTCTAGTAATATTATCTAATAAACGTTTCCAAACAACTTGCATTAAACTAGTGTAAGAATATCTTAAGGCAATTTATCTAAATAGTATTTTATAAGCATTTTCAACAACCACATCATACAATGGAACCTATGTGTAGAGGGGGAAAGGGAATGTAATAAATTATTAGCATGAAGAAAATTTTGTCTTTCCCAACGGAGAAATCAGGAGTTTCAAGAGTAAATATCCAGTGTTTTACTAAAGAGTATCCATTTCTTGATGGTTGAGTACTGACATCTTTTAAGGCTCACTACTACCTCTATTCTGCCCATCTGGGCAAGCTGATAAAAAAGTCCCTCCTTTAATACCAGCTGGAAGTTCAAACCACAGCAGGTACCCTCCCCCCGGCGCCACCCAGTAACCACCTTAACACACCAAACTGGTCACCATTTCCTGTTCCCTCAAGTCATTTTTGGACCAGCTTGGAAGTCTACTGTGCCCGCCCTAGAAATCTTCATTAGGTAACACATGTTCTCATAATGCTGTTAGCGCATGGCATCACCAATCTCGATATCCAAAGCCAACTTCGGTTAGGGTTCCACTGTTCCAGTGGATGGCCAAAGTGCAAATTAACAAATGTGTTGGAAGGTATATATATGAAATTTTTAGTTTATCTATTAAACAAAGGTTCCCATTATATTCTGTTCATCCTAAATTATTTCATGAGTGCTCCAAGTTCGTATTTTTAATTTCTGAAATTATTTTATTTCTAAATTTTTCATGCTATGTTCCTACTTTCACTTTATTTAAATCAAGGTGCATACCATGGGTTTTATTTGGGCACAAAACACATGAAGAAATATAATCATATGGTGCAAATTCATGGATTGGGGGCAGATTTTAGGGGATCAGAGTCTTGAACTTGCACTGTCATGGCATTTTCATTATTGCCACATAAATACCCTGGGGTAGAGTATGTAGAGAATAACTCAAGTGCAAAGTGTAAGTATATAATCCCCAAATTGTTCTTTGATTCCATCATGGAGAGAAATTGTTATAGATTCCCTCAACTTTGAGAGCTTAATGGTGCATTGTTAGTGTGTGTTATGAAGTACTCTACAGAGGTGGTTTAGATAAACTGTGTTGGAAAAAGAACATGACTCCTTCAGGGTTATGGGGAAAAAGCTTTATTAATTACAGCATGAGAGCTACAATACATTTTGAAGAAAACAGTAGTAAAATGTAATGGCAGGAGTTAACTATGAATCACGCACATACTGTTCTGGTTCTTTCCATTCCACTGCCTTCTCAGATAACTGCTCTCTTCAATTTCCAAGAAAAGGGAAATCTGTCAATAATATATCAATTTGTCACTGACAGTATAGAACAGCTATTACCATCTTCCCCTGTGTTGTTTCTATCACATAATCAGTCCCTAGTAAACAAACTATCACTGTCATCCCATGAAAGGCCAGTCCCTATAATTCATCTAGAGAAGGGGGCCCTGAAGGTAACAAGCATGATGACTTATATGGAGGTTTGCATTATTCTCTGGCCCTCCCCAATGCTCACACAATAGTGAATCTGACAACTGTGTCCTTGTTCCAGGAAATGTGGATATGAGTCACACCCAATGAAGCAGACCCCTTCATCTTGATTCCTCCTCAGAGACCATCAGGAAAGGCCTATAAGGAAGGCTTAAGATCAATAGATTTCAAACTTCAGGTTGAAACTCGTAAGTAGTAATGTAGCCTTTTCAAGAAAACTCAATACCTTGTACACAGAAAATAATGAGCTACTTCCACACATGTCCTTGTTCCCATGATATGGGAATTTTAACATTTTTTGACATAATTATTCTCCACTAACATCTCAGGTTAATCTCAAGAGAACTAAAGACTTAATTATTCCAGTTATATCCAGTTATTCCTGGATTCTCCAATGTGTGGTGTGTGAATTGGTCAAAAAATTTATCATATTTGTAAGAATTCTCCCCAGTATGACTTCATTGGTGAATCCCGAGAACACACTGTTCCTTAAAAGCATTTCCACATTTGGCGTATTTAAATAGGTATAGTTTCCCCTGCATAAATTCTCTCATTACTCCAAAGGTATGAACATTTGATGAAAGCCTTACGACATTCTTTACATTTGTAAGGTGGCTCTCCAATATAAATTCTCTGATGTTCCACGGTTTTGACGTTGGGGCAAAAGCCATAGCATACACGTTACTTTTGTGTGGTTTCTCTGAAAGATATATATCTTGATGTCACTGTGAGGCCCAGATAACAGCTCTGCCACATTTACATGGTTTCTTTTCAACATGGACTCTGTTGTTAAAAAATACTTTGAACTCAAGGTAAGGGCTTTGCCACACTCATTGCATTTATAAGGTATTGCTCTAGTACATTCCCCAATTTTGATCTTTGGGTAAAATCCTTGCCACACACATTACCTTTGTGTGGTTTCTCTGCTGGATATTTAATCATATCTAGTGAACAGTACTAATTTAAAACTCTGCCACATTTGTTACACTTGTAAATGTGAGCTATTTGGTGAACTCTGAGTTTAAGGCAATACCTAAAAGCCTTGCCATGTTCAGTACATTTGTAAGGTTCTCTCCAGTGTGGATTATCTGATGACTGGTGAGGTGTGACTCTCGAGTAAAGACTTTGCCTCACTCGTGGCATTTGTAAGGTTTCTCTCCAGAATGAATTCTTTGGTGAATCCTGAGGTCAGACCACTGCCGAAAGGTCTTACCACATTCAATACATGCATATGGCTTCTCTCCAGTATGATTTCTCCCATGATGCCTAAGGTGTGAACGCTTGGCAAAGGCCTTGCCACATTCATTACATCGGTAAGGTTTCTCTCCAGTATGGATTACCTGATGGTAAATTAGGCTTGACCGCACACTAAGGCTCTACCACATTCACTACATTTGTATGGTTTCTCCCCAGTATGGATTCTCCGATGACTTGCTAGGTGTGAATTTTGATTGAAGACCTTCCCACATATATCACATTTATATGGTTTCTCTCCTGTACGGATTATCTGACGTTTAGTGAGGTGTGAGCCCTGAGTAAAGGCTTCGCCACACTCGTGGCATTTGAAAGGTTTCTCTCCAGCATGAATTCTTTGGTGAATCCTGATGTCAGACCATTGTCTGAAGGCCTTGCCACATTCAATACATTTGTAAGGTTTCTCTCCAGTATGGATTATCTGATGGCTTATTAGGCTTGGACGCACAATAAAAGCTTTGCCGCACACATTACATTTGTATGGTTTCTCTCCAGTATGACTTTTCTGATGGTCAACAGGCTTGAACTTTCGATAAAAGCTTTACCACACACGTTACATTTGTGTGGTTTCTCTCCACTATGTACTCTGTGATGTTTTACAAGCTTCGAACTTTGGCAAAAAGCCTTGCCACATTCATTACATTGGTAAGGTTTCTCTCCAGGATGTATTCTCCGGCGATTTGCAAGGTGTGAATTTTGACTAAAGGCTTTGCCACATTCGTTACATTTGTAAGGTTTTTCTCCGGTATGGATTCTCTGATGACTTGCAAGGTTTGAATTTTGACTAAAGACTTTCTCACATACATTACATTTATATGGTTTTTCTCCTGTATGCATTATCTGATGTCTAGTGAGGTGTGAGCCCTGATTAAAGGTTTTGCCACAATCAAGACATTTGTAAGGTTTTTCCCTATGTGCTTTCTGCTCTTGCATCAGTGTCAAAGGGTGAATAAAGTCACTCCCACATTTACTAGCAATGTTGGTTTGGACCGTAGGAGGAATTCTCTGAAGTGGTGAAACTGAGGAACCATTGTTGATGGACTTCTCAACTTGATTACATGCATAAGTTTTCCCTTCAGTTTGAAACATGTGTAGTTTATCCCCAAAACTTAATCCAAGCCTATTTCCTGCATCACTTTTACCATGCTGATCTCTTATATCAGTGAGACTGTGTTTATGGGTTACAGACATTTCTTTGTAATTTATTTCATTATCTCTCCACTGCCACTCAAAGTCATGCATTTTTTTCCTGGATTTCCCTGAAGTAAAAATCTTTGATTTCAAGGCCTTCATGCCTTTCCAACATCACTGTTTGGAATACTTCTCCTGTATTACTGTTCTCCTTTGGTTATAATTTCTTGATCACATGTGTAAGAGAGACATCTATAAGATATAAAGAGCCATAGGTATCCTATTAATTACAGTTCACAAATAAACATTGTGTGTTGAAAACACAGTATTACAACAAAAGTAATACTTATACCGAACACAGTTACAAAACTTCCCATGATGTTAAAAATCTTAGGAACACTAAAGGAATAGGATTTTTTTTTTTTTACTAAAGAAAGAGTACTCATCTGTAAGACAAATTAATTTTAGGATAGCCTAGTTTCAAACACTCAATGACAAAAACACTCGTGCTGTACAAAATTATGTTAGCTCTCAAAGAAAGGGTATTTTTCTTTCTTTTTTAACCCCGGTACAGTTAACATACAGTGTTATATTAGTTTCAGGTGTACAACAGAGTGATTCAACAATTCCTACAACAAATGCACTCCTTAATCCCTATCACCTATTTAACCCATCCCCCACCCAACTCCTCTCTGGTAAAACATCAGTTTGTTCTCTATAGTTAAGAGTCTGTTTCTTTGGTTGTCTCTTTCCCTCCTTTTTCCCCCTTTGCTTGTTTGCCTTGTTTCTTGAATTCCATATATGAATGAAATCATATGGTATTTGTCTTTCTCTGACAGACTTATTTCACTTAGCATTATACTCTCCAGCTCCATCCATGTTGTCGCAAATGGCAAGATTTGTTTTTTATGGCTGACTAGTATTCCGCTGTAAATATATGCCATATCTTCTTTATCCATTCATCTATCGATGGACATGTGAGCCACTGCCATCATTTGGCTATTGTAAATAATGCTGCTATCAACATAGGGGTGTATGTATCCCTTTGAATTAGTGTTTTTGTAATTTGGGGGTAAATATCCAGTAGTGCAATGGCTGGATCTTAGTAGTTCTATTTTTAACTTTTTTTTTTTTTTTAAAGATTTTATTTATTTATTCGACAGAGAGAGACATAGCGAGAGCAGGAACACAAGCAGGGGGAGTGGGAGAGGGAGAAGCAGGCCTCCCGCAGAGCAGGGAGCCCAATGTGGGACTCGATCCCAGGACCCTGGGATCATGACCTGAGCCGAAGGCAGACGCTTAACGACTGAGCCACCCAGGCACCCTATTTTTAACTTTTTAAGGAACCTCCATACCACAGTGGCTGCACCAGATTGCATTCCCAACAACAGTGCAAGAGTTCCTTTTTCTCCACATCCTCACCAACACTTGTTGTAAGATAGGGTATTTTCCCACCATGATCCCAAAGCACATACCAACTGGCAGTAAATATATGTCTCATAACTGAGAAAAAAATATTGTAATTTTCCGTATACTTGTATATAAATAAATGCTGAAGAACAGATAATCTATTACAATGGTAAGTAATCCAAAACAAGTTTATCTGATGAATAATGTAAATAAATGGCAATCTAGAACTGCAAAACAAATATAGCATTGAGAAAATGAAGAATTTATTTTTTTTTTTAAGATTTTATTTATTTCAGAGAAAAACAGAGGTAGAGTGAAAGGGAGGAGACTCCCCACTAAGCAGAGAGCCTGATGACTGGCTCAATCCCAGGACCCTGAGATCATGACCTGACCTGAAGGCAGATACTTAACCGACTGAGCTACCCAGGCACCCCGGAAAATGAAAAATTTAATAAAACAATGTTTACAAAATGGAATTGTATAAATACGTGTTATAAAATTATCTGTACCCATGAAATATAGGCATTTCGCAGCATTAACAAGTGGTGCATGTCAGTTATATTGCATAAAACATCTGTAAATCACAATAAAAATTAATAAATAAAATATTCTAGTAACCCTTGATAAAACCAGCAATAAATAATAAGTAACCATGTTATAGAAAATTATACTCTATGGAGCTCTAAACATTTCCCCTCAAGAATAAAAGAAAGCAGGGCACCTGGGTGGCTCAGTTGGTTAAGCGTCCAACTCTTGGTTTTGGCTCAGGTCATGATCTCAGGTCGTGAAATCGAGTCCTGTGCCAGGCTCCACGCTCAGTGCGGAGTCTGCTTGTGAATCTCTCCCTCTCCCTCTGCCCCTACCCCCACTCACATGTTCTCACTCTCTAAAATAATAAAATAAAATAAAAATAAAAGAAAGATTTCTATTCTAGAAAGAGCACACAATATGAAAACTGGAAAATATGTTGGGGTCACTGACTTCTAAAATATTAGGTCAGAAAAACACATTATAAAAGAACTGGAGAAAGATGTCAGAAGTCACAATTATGATTTCCTGCCTACAGTTATGTAACAGCCAAGCAACAGAGCAACTCCCTATCTATGCAGTGCACTCTAGTTATCCAGTTCATTGGCTCCAAATACATGTAGCTCAGAGTGTATTCTTTGAAAATTTATTAACTAAGATCAGAGACAAAATTATTGAGAACTGCAAAATGAAAACATATAGAATATAATGCAAAGGGAGATCTCATAATAAACATGACAAAGTTGGTATCTCTTATTAAACAAAAGTAACTTTTGAGTGTACTATAAAACATGCAATATTCCATACCATCTAAAAGCACTAATCTGTATTTTTAGAAAGATTTGAGAGAGAGCATGTGTGAGAGAGCAAGCTGGGGGAGGGGCAACGGGAGAGGGAGAATCACAAGCAGACTCCCCGCTGAGCGTGTAGCTCCACATGGGGGTCAATCTCACAAGTGTGAGATCATGACCTGAGCTAAAAGCAAGAGTTGGATGCTTAACCAACTGTGCCACCCAAGTGACTCATCTGAAGCCTGAGTGATACATGAACGAGGAGAAAAATTTCCTCCGAGAGCTCACAAGAAAGAAACCTTTGTTTTCCCACAGAACTCCACCACTGCAGAGTTTCTCAAACACTACTAAGGTGCGGCCCCCTCGCTGCCCTTCTGAGCTCTTGCCTGTGTTCCCACCTGTCACACATTCCCACCTGTTTGGTTTTACGCTATTTGCTCTTTGCCCTCCACAGTCTAGGACTCTTTCCCTTGCTCCACAAGGACATAATATTCAGGTCAGAAACAGAAATTCCTGCTTATAAGAAGAAAAGAACATGAACATGATGTGCTATGGCTTTTCCAGAATCCTAGCTCTTTGTTGAGCTGAGGAGAGAGGATATCACAGATTGATCTAGAACAAACATATCACAAATTCCTCCACTGCTTGCCTCCTAAGGGCACAGGAAACAGTATAACATGCAAATTTATAGCTATCTTCCAACACTACTGAATCCAAAGCACAGGGGAAGAAAACAGGAAACTGGATATTTTAAAAGTCTGCCATATGGTTTTATACATTCTTAAACTCTAGAACCCCTGAAGAAAGGAAAGTAGAAGTCAGGATGCCATATTGTGAGGCTTTTCATTTCTGAGTCAACAGGGCTTCAATCTCAGTCAAGCAGGGCAGGGGCTCCCAGAAGACAAACAAGGGAAAATGCAAAGATACGCAAGGGCAGATCCCCACTTCTGGAGGGACGTTTTCCTCACCCAGGGAGACCAGGTTCTTATAGTTCTCCAACATCACACCCTTGTACAATTCCCGCTGAGCAGGATCCAGGCACTCCCACTCCTCCTGAGAGAATTCTATGGCCACATCCCTGAAGGTCAACTGTCCCTGAAATGAAAACACATTGCACCAAAAGGCCATGGGGAAATTTCTTCACACAAAATGAGAAGAGAGAAGTAAAAGTATCAATTTGGTAAAGTGAGTATTCAACAGATCCGTGTTATGGTATTTTGAGCAACTTATGTGTTTCTAATTTTAATTTCTTATGCATTCCCATAAGAGATTATGATACCCTCCAAATTAAGTGTGGATTTCTCATTTTTGTGGACAATACATGAAATGAAGCATACACATAAAAAGTCAATACTGCATTATCTCTACAAAGTATTAGATATTATGTTCTATATGCTGAGTGATATCAATGAGCTATCTTCAGATGACAAAATTGACAGTGGCTTTAAAGAGAAGTCAGAATCCAAAAACCGTGATGAGGATAACAATGGCAATAACTTGGAAGTTTTGTTTGTTTTTTTTTAAGATTTTATTTATTTATTTGACAGAGAGAGCAAGCGAGCAAAGCAGGGGGAGTGGCAGGCAGAGGGAGAGGGAGAAACAGACTCCCCACTGAGCAGGGAGCCTGATGCAGGGCTTGATTCCCTGGGATCGTGACCTGAGTCGAAGGCAGACGCTCAACCAACTGAGCCACCCAGGCACCCCTAAACATTACTATTCTTACTACTATTCTACTATTTAAATCATTAGCCTGACAGTGTAGAAAGAACTGAAGGCCATGGAATATATTTAAGATATAATTTCTATTGCTAAAAAATATGAAATTTATTACGAAATGATGTCTTTTATAGAAACTACAGACTTTCACATCCATGCACTTGTACACACACATATAAATAATACCAATTAGCCAAAATGAGAAGAGTTTTCTCAACATAATTTTGAATGACTTTCTTCATTATTTTCATTCACATGTATTTCAGTATGTTTGGGAAAATGAAAATGTATAAACTGTACTTAATTCAGTTTGTCAATATGACTGTATAGTAGGCTAGTAAAGAGATGGTACAAACATGAAAAAAATACAGACTACTTTAACTCCAGTCTCTATAAAATACCTGAATTCAAAAATATAAACACAATTTATTCCATTTAAATGTAGGTGTGTAAGCATTAACAAAAGCCAAACAGTTTGTTTATTCCACTAATAAAGCAACAGTTCAAGATTAGAAAAGTTATCAGTGTTATACACTAACTGAACAGATTAAGATTAAAAAAACATATCACTAATAGATACCTGAAAAAAATGACAAAAAGGAAACTGGGGAAAAAACTATTATTAAGCAAGAACATTTAACCAAATGTCATGACTCAGTCAAAAACACTGTATGCATTTCCTCTGAAATTATGGTGGAGCAAAGAGGCTAGCCAGGGCCCCTGCCATTCCCCATCCTACAGCATGCCTGAGCAGGGATCAGAGGAAGAGGCTAAAGGAGGAAAAAACAGTGAGAGAGTCAAAGAGCTGGAACTGTTGAAATTCACAGATCTAAGGACAGAAATAGGCTAAAAATGAAAGAGAGACAAAGATATTCCATGCAAGTGGGATCCTAAAGAGAGCAGGGGTGCCTATATTGTATCAGACAAAACAGACTATGAGACAAAAACGGTCACAAGAGACAAAGGACATTATAATAAGAGGGTCAATTCACCAGGAAGATGGAACAATTAGAAACACATAGGCATGTATCATTAGAGCCCTCAAATATATGAAGTAAATAAGAGTAGACTTCAATACCCAGTTTCAGAAGCTCTAGAAGGAAACAGAGGACCTAAACAGCACTATTACCAAATGCACCTACCAGACAGAACACTCCACCCAACAACAGCAGAACACAGTCTTCTAAAGCACACATGAAACATTCTCCATGACAGACCACATGTCATGCCACAAAACAAATCTTTTTTTTTTTAAAGATTTTATTTGACGGAGAGAGAGAGACAGCGAGAGAGGGAACACAAGCAGGGGGAGTGGGAGAGTGAGAAGTAGGCTTCCCGTTGAGCAGGGAGCCCGATGCGGGGCTCGATCCCAGGACACTGGGATCATGACCTGAGCTGAAGGCAGATGCTTAACGACTGAGCCACCCAGGCGCCCCGCCACAAAACAAATCTTAACAAATTTATGAAGACTGAAACCATAAAAAGCATCTTCTCTAACCATAGTGAACTGACACTAGAAACAAAGAGCAAAAAGGAACCAAATGTGTAAATTAAAACAATTCATTCTTAAGCAATGGGTCAAGGAAGAAACCACAAGGAATTTTTAAAGCGTCAGATGAAAATGAAACTACCACATACCCAAATGTAGGGATGTGGTGAAAGCAGCACTGAGGAGCATCTATATGGTGAATATTTACATTAACAAGAGGAAAGATCACAAATCAGAAATCTTATTTTACATCTCAAGGAAGCAGAAAAATAAGAACAATCTGAACCCAATTTAGCAGAAGGAAGAAAGATTACAGCAGAGGTAAATGAAAGAGGATAAAAAATATAAAAATCGACAAACCAAGAGTTGGTTTTTTGAAAAGATTAACAAACTGACAAGCCCTTAGCTAGACCAATTTAAAAAAAAAAAAGAGAAGCCTGGGTGGCACAGTCATTTAAGTGTCTGACTCTTGGTTTTGGCTCAGGACCTGATCTCAGGGTGGTAAGACTGAGCCCCACACTCAGCGTGGAGTCTGCTTAAGAATCTCTCTCCCCCGGGACGCCTGGGTGGCTCAGTTGGTTAGGCGACTGCCTTCGGCTCAGGTCATGATCCTGGAGTCCCGGGATCGAGTCCCGCATCGGGCTCCCTGCTCAGCAGGGAGTCTGCTTCTCCCTCTGACCCTCCCCCCTCTCATGCTCTATCTCATTCTCTCTCTCAAATAAATAAATAAAAAGAAAAAAAAAATCTTTAAAAAAAAAAAAAAAGAATCTCTCTCCCCCTCCTTCTACCCTCCCCTCCCCACGCTCTCTCTCTCTCTCAAATAAAGGTTAAAAAAAAAAAAGAAGAAGAAGAAATGAAAGAGGGGACATTACAACTAATGACACAGAAAGTTTTAGAAAGGACTCTAGGGGTGCCTGGGTGGCTCAGTCGGTTAAGCATCTGCCGTCGGCTCAGGTCATGATCCTAGGGTCCTGGGATCGAGCCCCACATCGGGCTCTCTGCTCAGTGGAGAGCCTGCTTCTTTCTCTCCCTCTGCTGCTCCCCCTGCTTGTATTCTCTCTCTCTGTCAAATAAATAAATAAAAAATCTTAAAAAAAAAAAAAAAAGGACTCTAAGAGGGTACTAAAAACAACTCCATGCCAACAATACATAATCTAGAAGACAAAGGTAAATTCATGGAAACATACAACCTACGAGACCTAATCACCTAATCATGAAGAAATAACAAATATGAACAGAATTATACCTACAGAGGACATGCTGGCAGGAATCAAAGATCTCCAACAAAGAAGAGTCCAGGACCAGATGGCTTCACTGAAGAATTCTACCAAACATTTACAGAAAAATTAACACATATCCTGCTAAAAGTCATCCAAAGAATTGAAGATGGAACATTGCAAACTCATTCTATAAAGTCTGCATGATTCTGATACGAACCCCAGATAAAGATACAAGAACAAAACTACAGAATATCCCTGATGAATACTGAATCAAAAATCTTTAACAAAATACTAGCAAACCAAGTTCAATAGTACATTAAAACGGGTATCCATCATAACCAAGTGGAATTTATTCCTCCAAGATAAGGATGATTCAACAATATACAAAAATCAATCAAGGCAATACACTAATAGAATGTACTAACAGAAAGAAGGAAAAAAAAAAAAAAACCCTGAACATCTCAATTAATTCAGGAAAAGCCTTTGACAAAATTCAACAACCTTTCAGGATAAAAACACTCAACAAACCAGGAAGAGGTAAACTACCCCAACATAATCAAAGCCATATATGAAAAGCACACTGTTAACATACTCAATGGTGAGAGACAGAAAGCTTTTCCTCTAAGATAAAGAAGAAGGCAAGGATTCACGCTCTCAGCATTACTATTCCACAGAGTACCAGAAATCCGAGCCACAGAAATTACCAAGGAAAAGAAATAAAAGCCCTCCAAATTCAAAAAGGTTGATTTCATATTTTTAAATTGATGATAAATAAAATACTTTCCATTCCATTCCCAATCCTTAAAATTTTGAGTTTTGGTTTTTTGTTTTTTAAGTAATCTCTACACCCAACGTGGGGCTCGAACTCATGACCCTGAGATCAAGAGCACATGCTCTTCCGACTGAGTCAGCCAGGCACCTCTAATCATTAAATTTTGAAGGCACTGACTCATTTGTTCAGCTTCAAATGTAGTATAATAACAGGCAGAACAGATTTCTCCATATTGGTCTCTTTTTCTAGAAGTTACCAGGTTTTTGTGGACATTAATATATGATTTTCATGTGCAGTTTCTTCTACCCAGCTTACAAAGATCTAGCAGTGCATCCAGATGCGGCCCCTGAACAATCCCTGCTGCCCAACCGCACTGACACCACGGAGTCCACACCCATCTCCAATCCACACCTGGTGTGAAGCCCATCAGGATGCGCCCAATGGAGTCTCCTCACAGGTTCCACGTCACTGGGTCACGATGAGATGAAATCTAAGTGGAGATGGGACTGAGGGAAAGCCTGAGTATGAACGAACATGTGTCAAGGGTCCTTTGGAGAGTAGCAAACCCAATAGGAAGGAGAAACAGAACATCAACCAAGAATACGAGCTTACCTGAGAAAAAGCCATTCTGGACTCCTCTTTCTTTTCTCTTCCTCCTTTTCTGAGTCTCTTCCTCTGAACATGAGTCTTTCTTAAAAGTCAACCTTGAAAGTTGAAAATATGCCGTTTAATGCTTAGAATGATCATATCCCATCCTATGCCACAACCACACACACAGGGGAAGTCCTCACCATGTGGGAGAGACGGCCCTCTGAGGCCCACTGCCACAGGAGGGGCTCACGGACAGTACACTCCTACTCAAACACCAACAAGTAAGTTTTGCCCCCCCTCCCTTCAGCTCACATTCCCTTGCTGGTGAAGCCCTCACAAACACTGCAGCAGTGGGAACCTCAGCTGCACTGACCCTCCCCTTCAAATCACAGACCTGCCCCGATCAAACCCCATGCCGAGCAGAAACCCATTCACCCTCAGCCAGGTCTCAGCCCTCAGACAGGAAGGACCCAGAGCATTGGGGCTTAATGCTGAATATAGGTCAGAAACACCCGGGCCACTTTAAATATTATCGAGGCTGCTCCCCCCACCAACTATCTGAAGGGGAATCTGTAAGGGGGGCACAAAAGATGTAATTACAAAATGTCTGAGCAATCTCACATGAAGCTGGATTGAGCACCACCCAGAAGAGGCAAGATCAACACACCTCCCACCGTTTTTTCTTTTCCAGCTTTACTGAAGTATAATTGACAAATAAAAATTGTGTATATCTAGGGCGCCTGGGTGGCTCAGACGGTTAAGCGTCTGCCTTCGGCTCAGGTCATGATCCCAGGGTCCTGGGATCGAGTCCCGCATCGGGCTTCCTTCTTGGCA